AAACATGAATTATTGCTAAAACTGGACTGAAGTTTATCAGCAGTCATTCTTGTCATGTCAGGGTCATTTTTGAAATGGATAACAGGCTGAGAGTGAGAACACTAAAACTTTGGTAAGGTTGTATATACAGTATATATAGTATGGAAAAGTTGCACATACTGCATTATTGATTAAGGCTACATATAAACCTTAGTGTTCTCTGTTTCTTTTTTTCCTTATGTGTATGTGACTGCATAAGTGCATGTACACTGAAAATAATTATTGTTTGGACAAAGTCTAAATTGTTTCAGTCAAATGTACTAGGTTTTTTTTTTTCTTTTTCAAATTATACTTATGGTTTGGTTAAAATCTTAAATTTTAATTTAATATTAATCAAAATATTTATTTTCCCAAACACATAAAAATATATGCAAATAAAAGGTTATTATAGACCATATACCATACTAATATAGTATTTTCTTAGACAAGCCAAAACACTTGTTTCACTTATTTCAGTGAATTACAATTATGAGCAATGAAGACTCCTTTCCACACTCCTGCTTTTTATTTTATTGTCAGTACAGTGCAATACTTTATTTAAGAGGACTGAGACTTACAAGCCACCAAATTGTAACATTTAACTGCCTCGCATGCCTTCACTGTTGTTGTCAAAAGACTCTACGAATGGTCAAATAATAGTGTAAAGTGTCACTACACGGTGCATGCATTAAATACTGAACTGACAGCTGCATAAGACATTTAATGGAACTGTGGAAAAGAGCATGTGGAAGTATAAGTAACTGACATGACTGCAGTGAAGTGGTTCCCTGAGGATTAACTCAGTATATGATGCTGAGGGATTTGCTGCATATTTCTTAACTGTACAGATGGTCTAATGGGTCTATCTCACCTGGGAAATATGTTCTACAGATAAAGATAATGGCCATGTACTATGTACAGGATGTAATGCTTGGCTTAACCGTAGTTCTGATCAGTCCCTCACTGCCCCTCTGCTGTTAGATTAGTGGCCTGTGGATAAATTACTTTAGGTGCACTTAACGAATCAGATATTTTATGATTCTCTGATGTGGTTTGCAATAAAGCCATAATGCATAATGAATTTTGATGTTCAATTACATGTTAGAAGTAATCGAACTCATTAGAGCTCCATTAAAAAAAAGGATTGTAAACGAGATACTAAATTTACAAGCACAAAACATTAAATGAGTGAATCATTTTAAATCTTTATTAATGCATTTATAAATAGAGATGCATTCAAAAGAAAAGAAAAGAAAAGGAAAATAATAGTAATAAATATTACATATTTTAGAGTGAAATATAAATAAAAATAGAATTTTAAATTAAAAATATAACTTTAAAAAATAACATTTAAAGTTGTATTATTGTTGTTGATTTAATAATAATAATAATAATAATAATTATTATTATTATTATTATTATTATCATCATCATCAGTTTGTTACTTTAAAAATAATGCCTCTCAAAGCCTATAAACGTTTGACTTTCAAAAATATTAACTTGCTCTGAGAAATATTCACTGGAATCAAAAGTGTGGCAACAAGCCCCATCTTATCTAGGCTCTATCTTTATATTCTATCATATTTAATAATAATAATAATAATAATAATAATAATAATAAAATAAAGGTGCAAATGTGTTGTTAGGGGCAATAAAAAATAAATGATGCATAGACAGAAAGTTATGTTGTCTGTTTAAGGTTAAGAACTTTATCCCAGTGGAAAAAAAAACGACCTAATAATTTTGTAAAATCAAGCAAGATTTGTAAAGGTTTTACAACATGTATGTTTTGCGTATCATAAATTTGGATTCATTCCATCGCAACAGATTAAATATCGCTGAATGCCATTGCACTGGAATCAGTCTCCGCTCACCTTCAGAAAACACTTGTGCAGTGCAGATGATCGTGGATTAGTGAAAGCACTCGCGCGTGAGGAATCCACTTCAGACTCGTGAACTGTCATCAGAAAATGTAAGAAAAATATTTTCACTGCTTTTTATTATCTTATTACTGTCAATGTGACAAAAGTTTATTCTTACAAATGAAATGTCAATGCCCAGGTACATTTGATCAGTGCACTGATTTAAGCAAGCATGAGCGAAATTTTACCGAATATAAGAAGCCCGTCGCTATAATAATCGTTTTCTAGACGTGTCCGTTTAAATCTGAAAGTCGCATTCGAATGAAACTTATAATTTTGATATGGCTTTAGCCTTCATTGTCTTTTTAGAATAGATAATGGCAGAGATATCAAGTTTGTTCAAATTAAATCGTGATTATAACGTGCTAGGACAGGATGCGTGAGGACAGCGAGCAGATCAGATCACCCGTCACGGTTTAAGCCGACAGTGCGGGTTAAGACAGGGCAGGAAGGATCTCCCACTGTCACTTGACATGTAATTAGTGATGGGCTTCAGGGGTTTCATCACCCAAACCCCCCTCCACACCTCCAGCCCTGTGGGCCAAATGTGCGACGGCGTAAGTTTGAATGCACTTCTGTCATACTGTTTTTGTGTTGTGTTATGTTTTACCGGTATTTATTTTCATTTGAAGCCCAATGTCTGGAAATGAAGAGCGCACGTTCATTGCCATCAAGCCTGATGGAGTGCAGAGAGGGCTCATCGGAGAGATCATCAAGCGTTTCGAACAGAAAGGCTTCAAGTTAGTTGCTATGAAGTTGATCCAGGTCAATTGAGTTAACAGTTTTTATCTCTATTGGTTTAATAGGACTTGCATTTTCTTTTAATGGTAAAACAGCGCGCTGAGAGGGCGAAATTGACAACAGATGTATTTATTTCTACATTTTTAACATGTATAGATTTTTTTTTAATATATTTCTCCAAATACATCATAAGACACCTACACATAAGACACCTACATCACTGCTCAGCTCTCATTGTTATCAACGTTCTGTTATTTCAGCATATTCAAGGATATATATATATATATATACACACACACACACACACACACACACGACTTTCTAAAAAACTTAATCACATTAAAACTTTATACATTTTCCCCTTGGTGTGAGGGAACTTAAGCTCTCTCTCAGACACACTTGTCTTCTAAGGGTTAAATCAATTACTAACTCTAATTGTAGTTCCTTGTGGTCTGCAAGGTTGCACCTGCTATTTATATCCCCTGTGACCATCTAGTTATTTACATATATATATATATATGGTTATAAAAATGCCCTCAGATGCCACTGAAAAAAAATCTACAGGCAATATTATACATATTTATATAATATAAAAAAAGACTTTCTAATAAATGTTTAAAAAAATATAATTGTATTAGAAATGCATTTTAAATTGATTTTCTAATTAAGTTTCTATTATATTACTTAACTGATTAAAAACTTAATATATTTTTGGTCTAGTCTCTAATTGTGGAAATCTCCATTTAGAGCTTGTCTTCTCAGGGTTAAACCAATTACTAACTCGAATTGTAGATCCTTGTGGTCTTCAAAGTTGCACCTGCTATATATCCCCATGTGACCATCTAGTTCCAGTAAACATTGCCTTAAAATAAAGATTCAGTCACAAAAAAGTTGAGGTCAAAGGGGTATGTGGGATTAAGAGGAACTTTAATTCTCAAAACTTTGTATGCTTTTTTGATCGTTGTATGTTTGTCTTCAATGCAGGCCGATGAGGATCTTATGAGACAGCACTACTGTGACCTGAAGGATCGGCCTTTCTTCCCTGGGCTTGTTAGGTTTATGTCTTCTGGCCCTGTGGTTGCCATGGTAAGCCCATTTATATTATTTTCCCCAGAGTGTGACTCTAGGGCACTTTGAATTAAAAAATATTTCTCCTTTATTGCTAATAAATATTCTTCATAAATTTCATAAAGGTGATTGTACTAGTGTTATTTCTGTGATATATTTTTAGGTGTGGGAGGGTTTTAATGTTATAAAAACTGGCAGAGTAATGCCATTGACTCCAAACCTGGGACTATCAGAGGTGACTTTTGCATTCAGGTTGTCCGGTAAGATCTTACACTGTATTCTAAAATAACATTTTGATGACTGTTTTAAACAGCAGATAGTTTATAAAAAAGAGCCTGAAAAATGAATGTGTAAATGTAATGGAAAATAACTGCCTGAATGTTAGATTTCATATTTTAGTGTACATCTCCTCTGCAAACCAATCAATTATTTAGACATCTGGTTAGAAAAAGACAAATGTATACAGTTCAAAAGTTTGGGGTCGGGGTATATATATATATTAATGTTGAAAAAAGTTACTTTTATTCAGCAAGGCATTAATCAAAACCGTTTAGAAGACATTTATAATGTTACAGAAGATTTCTATTTCAAATAAATGCTTTTTTTCTTTTTTTACTTTCTGTTCAAAGACTCTTGAAAAAATATATTACAGTTTCCACAAAAATATTAAGCAGCACAACGGTTTTCAGCATTGATAATAATAATGGTCATCATGTCATGAAGACTGGAATAATAGCTGTTGAAAATTCAGCTTTGCCATTAAAGAAATAAATTACTTTTTAAAATATATGAAAATAGAAAACATTATTTTAAATTGTAATAATAATGTTTTCACAATTTGTTTTTTACTTTTGTTTTTGATCAAAAAAATTATAATACAGCCTTGGTGAACATTAAGACTTCTTTTAAAAACAATAAAAATCCTTACCAACCCCAAACTATATTTGGATCTGTTTGTCTGGCACTTTCATGTATTTATCTGCACTAGTTTTTGCTCATATTAAATTGCTTTCACTTCAGGAACATCATTCACGGCAGTGATTCTGTCGAAAGTGCCAACACCGAGATCAACCTGTGGTTCAAACCAGAGGAGATCTGTGACTACACCAAATGTCAGGACAGCTGGCTCAATGGCTGAGCACTCTTCATTTTCTGCACTTTTCTCCCTCTCTGGTGTTTCTGATTTAAGTCATTCCATTTTCATGTTTTCCCACGGTTTCTGGTGTTTGTCTTTACAATAAAACCAAAAATAATTTCTATCCCACGAGTTCAAGGGACAGTTTCAATGAGCCGGCACTACATAATAAAACAAATGTTAGAGCCACTTTGACATGAGTAGTCTGAGGATTGATCTCTTGACAATTTTATTTTATTAAACATAATACTTCAAAGTAGTTCAAATGAATGAATTAGAGGTCTATTTATACTTACTGTATGATACTGATGGCCCCAATCAGGCAAAGCAACAGATCACGTGTCTTTAGTTTTTGACAGCGCTATGCCACACAAAGCACTGCAGTAAGGAATGAACTTGGGAAATAAAGTACACAGTGCTCATTTAAATGATACCGTAGCACCAGCAGTGCTGTTTTCATAAAGTCCATTAAAATATCATTATGCCACATAATACAAAACCTGTAATTCCAGATTGTTACTTGGAAAGAAAAAAAAAGCATGCAAGAACAGGATGGTCTGGTCTTTTTGCAGTTATTACATATACAATTATTTTGAACAATGTCATTCCAATTAAACAATTTGAGAAAGGTCTCTTTCAGTCAAGTACTGGTCGTCCTGCCAGTGTATAGTACATGCAGAAATAAATTCATCCAATAAAAGATGCATAGTTCATACACTACATAAAGATGGTAAATGTGCACAAGAGTCAGAAGTGAATATAAATGAATGCTCCATTTGAACATATACCAGATCATAGTTTGGTGATGTTTTTGTGTGTTTTAACCACATGGGCCCCATTTTATTAAAATAAAAGTTCCCTTTTGGTCAGCTGAGCCTAAAAACATAGTGCAACAGTTTCTATTTTTGCTTGTCAATTTCAGTCAGAGTGACAGAATTCACAAAGAGGGACTGTCCCTTTTTAACCTGACAAACCCAATAAATTATCATTCTGGTACAAAAATATATAATAGATGTAATGCATTAAATGTTTCTCTTTCCCAAAACACAATGGTTGTCAAAATATACTATTAATATGCTAAGAAAAGTCATTTTCTTAACATGTTAAGCTCTAGTTGAATTCTTATGCAAAGGTTGAAACATACAACTAAAAATATACTGTATAACACTGAATCTGTTGGCAGGACATGGACCTTTTTTAATAGTTAAAGTTACAGTACAGTCAATCATACTTGGTCCATGAAGTTTGGGTCATTAATAAATCAATCATTTTCTTGGTTATGTTTTTGATCAGCTGTATTACTGCTTTTGAACAGAGAATAAAGGATCTTTCAGTCTACAGAAAACAAAATTGAAGAGTGATGAATCTCAGAGCACTTGAAGCAGGTTGTATCTCACTTAGATTTTACACAGTATATCCATTCGCTAGAGGCCAACTGTGAGTCTTGATCTGAGCACAACAGGAAATTAAAGCGTCTCTGTTGAAAGAGCTTTAGCACAGTAGATCTGAACAGTAAGTGCTGACATTCTGCAGTCTTCATTGCAGATACGTTCTGTCCGAGTGAGACAAAGATGCAGAAAGCAACAGTTTGGTAAGGGATATTGCAAGTTCTTGAGTGGATCTTTTGGAAATTTGAGGCACGATCCAGCCAACAGTACGTTACTACTGGTATCTTAAATTGGGTAAATGAATTCAACTGTTAAAACCAATACTTGTAAGCAGGACCACCAAAGTGCGTAAACAAAGTGTGAAAAGTTAGACATTGCACGTCTAAAACATCCAGAAGCTCCAATGTGAAGGCCCAACACAAAGGTTATACCTGTAGGAATTACAGTAGGTCAATCCAACATGGCTTCCAGCTGGTCAGCAAGATCATCGAACATGTTCCCAATATCATCAAGAATGTTCCCAGCTAACTTCACTGTGTTAATGCCCCTGAGAGAAAGAAGAGAAAGAACAAGGTCAACCCTCTACATTGCGAGTAAATCTTCACTCTGGGCGACTAAATGATGTCTAATATTAGCCAATGGCTAATAAATTCTCAGATTTTACTTGCCAGTGTGTGAGTTGGAGGCTAAGTATAAGTTTAGCACAGATATATTTTCACTCGCCGAACACTCTGACTGAGCGCTTCAGAGTTTCTCTCTCCATCAAGCGATCTGTGCTATTTTTCAGTTTATCTGAATGGATGTGCAACGCACCTGTATTTGACATACCGTAAACTCTTGTGTGAAGCGCACGACTCGCCATAGCTTTATCTCACACACACGCAGAGAGAGTGAGAGAGAGAGAGAGAATTGACGCGCTACATGTAAACAATATTCTTTGTTCTATTTTCCTGTCAAAATAACAGCGTTCCTCTGGAATTCTTCAGCTTTTAAGAACTGCCGCTTTCTCCGGTAGTGGACGGAACTAATGCGCAAACGGCAATCCCATTGGCTGGCGTTCACCTATTATCGTCCCTGTTTTGATTTCAGCAAATCAGTTCGAGCGAACGCACACAACCTGATTAATATTCATGAATCCAG